GGCCCCACCGCGCCCTGCTGCGGCCTCGCACGGGGAGAGGGAGAGGATGATCCCAGCGATTTCCCCCCGACCTCGGGAACAGACTTCCCCGGAGTTCTGCCTGGACCAAGCGCCCCTGGCTTTGGGAGCCCACGGCATCTCCCACCCGCTCTGGCTGCTCATCCGCTGCCCACACATGCTGAGTTTTTCAGGTCTCGATCTTGTGGCATGGGGGCCACTGTTGGTCCACTTAGAGTTCAGTGTGACAACTGGTCAGAAGAGCAAGGCAGCCCTGTGACGTGACTGTTTTGTCCTGTGTCAGGTTTGGATGGTGGGTTCTAGCGCACTCGGGAATAATACCTCATCCGGACTCTGGCTGCAGTGCAACATGACCTGCAGGGCGCTGCAAGTCGACGGCAATGAGGGTACGTTACATCTGCATTTTCATTGTGGTGATGATTTCCAGTACGTTTGTGCACAATACCATGGCTGAGTCCTGACCTTCTCAAATTTATTCCCGGTGTGTTCACAGCTGCCCTCAAAGCCGTGCAAGCCTTTATGATCCTCTCAATCATTTTCTCCGTCATCGCACTTGTCATATTCATTGCCCAGCTGTTCACCCTGGAGAAGGGCAAACATTTCTACATCCCTGGAGCCATCGTGCTGGTTTGCTGTAAGTATGTGTGACTTGTGATGGTTCTGCTTGCATCCCGCTGCCTCTGCAAGCAAAAGTGGCTACATGTATCAGCTACAAATGGCCATTGGGGGAGGTTGTCAGCCAGCTGAAAGTTTCAAGTGGCCCATTTTTTCGATAAAGAACTGAGAAATTGTAAAGTTGATTTTTTTTTTTTTTTACTATATAAAATGAAAATATTCCCACATTTTCATTAGAAAAACCCAGTGGGTTTTGCAAAATACATTTGAAAGTCAACAAAAAGGATTCAAGTATTTTGGGGGGCATGGGAATAAACAGTTAGCCAGCTACTGCTCACGGGATTCAACACCAAACTGTCTGCAGATCTTATTACTGATTTCTTCCTAACAAAGGTTTATTCCTCATGGCACCCACTAAACAATGCCCAAGTGTCTTATGTCATCATGGCTGCAAGGTAAATCCTCCATAAATAAGCCTAATGGGCAGCAGGCCCTCTAGGGCACAAGACATGCATTACGACCTCAGGGGACAATGGCACTTTAGAAATCCTGCAGCAATGCTGATTTTTGCGCTTTTTCCAACTCTCTTTCTTTTCCCCTCTTCCTTCCCACAGGGCTATGCATTCTGATTGGAGTCTCCATTTACACAGCTCGGTTCACAGGCAAGACACTCCAGTACATAAATCCTCACTATGGTTACTGCTTCATACTGGCCTGGATTTGCTTTTGCTTCAGTTTCATCATCGGCATCCTCTACCTTGTTCTCAGGAAAAAATAAGGCTGATGGGAGTCCAGGGGAGAGGGCTGGCTATTGGGAATGGGAAAGAATTGCTCTGCTGCGAGAACTGTTGGGCCAACAGATGGAAACAACCACCATCATCACCACTGCCACTACCACAGAAAAATCACTAAGAAAGCTAGAATCCTCAGAAACCCCTTCACCAAAGAGAGGGAGAAACAGCTCAAACTGATCTAGCACTCCTGGGGCTGTTGCACCAGAAATCTGCAAGTGACCTGGGCAGCTGTTCTCCTTTTCTGCAAAGTCATGTCATACCTTCACAAAGCTTCAAGCTCAGCAGTGATGATTGAAGGGCAGAACAGAAAAGGGCTACATCTTTTTCCCTTCCTAGGGCCCTTCTCACTTACCTTTTAATGGGCCTTGTGGGTTGGGCAGTGAAGCTTATGACCCCTTCTTTTGTCCATTGAAACAAATGGGATGGGCCTTTTGTTACATTTTTATATATAAATATATATATATGTGCACATACGTGAAAGTTAAAGACATTAAATTGAGAACCAACCCAATACAAATTAGATTAAATTAATATTAAAGTATCTACGGAAATAAGGCAGCAATTTTTTTTTTGTGATTTGACATTCCCATGGTTGAATCAGATACAGGTCGGAAGGGCATGGATGATGGCGGGGGGGGGGGGGAGAAAGTGTGGGAATGAAGACATACAGAGGTTCCTGTTTACAGAGGATGCAGTTGGTCCATGATGCACATGCAGGGAGGGAATCATCTGGGTGTGTGTCTACACTAAAATCTTCTGTTCAGCTGTAGAATATGGTAACAGCACTGCAACATCATAGTTCTTCAGTGAGACAAGTTCTTATCTATAGACAGGGTTTTTTCCCCACATTGTCACCCAGTACATGGTATTAATTGAGGGCCCCACTTTGTGACACAGGTCATCTCAAAGGCAGATGATACTGGTTAGCAGAGGAAATGTGTTCCCTAATGAGAGATTGGGAGAAATGAGGTAGGGCTTGTGAGTTCTGCTCCTTGCTGCATAAACTTAGGCCAGTCACTTAACCCGGTGCTTTTCCATCTTGCCAAATTCTTCCACAAAACTATACCTACCTCTCAGGGTTGCTGAGAGATTCTGAGTCCACTCTGTAATACAAGGTCCCCATGTGAAAGACCGGCATGGGAAAGTAAGACATTGGTACTGCTGCAACCCCCAAATTTCTGTCAGTTCAAAGAATCTCAGTCACAAATGGTATTTATAAAAGACAAGAAGTAAAACTTACTGTGATTCCATCCACAACTAAAAGGCAGAGAGTATCGAAAAACATACAGGTGCAGATTGCGCATGGACGTGATTTACTTCTCTCTCTCTCTCTTTCTCTTACATTTTCTTCTTATGTAGACTTTATCAGTTTGGTGGATATATTCTAGTACTGTATGTTGCTGTTTCATTAACAAAGGTTATTTCATATATAGTCATTGTAAATATTTTGAAATGCATATTTTTAACTTTGAGGGTATAAAAATAAAATCTGATTCCCTTTATTATAAAAAGTTTTGCTTTGGGCTTTTTTCATTAGTGTTTCAGATATTTGTTAACAGAAGCATTTGCTGTTTCCACTGAATCAAAGCTCACCCCTTCAAGATGATGCAGAACTACCATGTTCTCTAGCTTGTCAATATATGAGATTTCTTGTTCTGGAGGGGAAGAGGAAGCAGAACAACTCTCAGAGCTCCAGTTTCAGGCTCTCTGCAAGCTCAAGCAGATAATGTGGACAATGGCAACACTTGGTCCCAGAGCCAGGCTTTGTTTTGTACCCAGGAGAGCTGGAAATGTACTTTCTCAGTCTGGCAGAATCTTATCTCTCTAGAATCTGGTGCCTAAGATGGCACGGGATTCATTATGTCTTACAACAACCCTCAGCACAAGTGAGTTGCAAAGCAAAACCACCAAGGTGTTTGCCTGGGCCATTAAAGTTGGTACAACTGTTGCCTCCTTAGATTTGTGTGACCAAACACATTAGCAGCTTGAGCAGCCCAGGACACAGACAGATCTCAGCAAATGTGGGGCACAATCCTGTGAGCTGTGAGGTGAGGTAAAGCCTAGTGGGATTCAGCTGGGTAGGAAATTTTTCTTTATCAATTAAGCTGCCTTAGGGAGAGCTAAACACGCTAATTGAGGGCAGAACCATAACATGAATCTTTAGGATCTGAAGTTTCACCAGAGAAGAACCTGTGTATGCAGCAGGGCATGAGAAGGCTCATGGTGTGCAATGGGTGGACGCTTGTCTTGGTCTCAGAAGGTCCCAGGAGTCCTTCTGTGCCTCATCCTCCTGGCACTCCTATAAGTGCAGGGTAACCACAGACCAGTCAGGCACTGGGGACAGGGCTTCTCTGGCTACAAGTTAACACTGGGAGCTGAGATGTGAGCTAGCAGCTGAGGTGGGAATGCTGGGGGATGCTAGCTGGGGGGCTTTGCAGAGCACGCCCACTGCTTGGCTGGTATCTGTGCCCTGTTTCTAGCACGACACAAATCACACGTGACAATATGATACCTTACAGGCTAATAAAACAACCCAACTTTCTTGGGGTGCTCAGAACATGTCACAGGCAATGGTCTAATTTTTTGAACAACAGTCACCGACAGCCTTTGCCTCACCACAAACTGTTGTCATTGGCAGCCCATCAGGGATATGAAGGCTCCTGGATATTCTGGTCAGTTTGATTTGCCTGAAAAACCACTTAGGCTTTTAAAGGATCAGTGCCCTCATCTACAGCTGGGAAAAATCACTGGGTCCTCTGGCATCTTGTAACTCGGTGCAGTCCCTGAAGCATATCCAACCCCAAATGAGACAGTCTTTGCTCCACACCTGGTAACTCCCACCACCGTCTTCTGAGTCCTGTTATATTACGGGTTGGCAGGTAGGGAATTACATTGGGCACTGGTAGGACAGAACACACCAAACATAAAAGCAGATGCCAACAAAGATGAATCAATTACAAAACAGAAGGAAACAGAAAAGGACAGGAGCAAATGGCACTGTTGATTGTGTCATATGACAGATGTTTGCTCAAAGATCATCTTCCACACAGCATGAAGGGACACTGACCCAGTGCCACACAGACTGTGAGACACAAAGTCATGGCACTCCTGCAAGAGCCATTACAGGGATTTCAGTGAACAGGTCTTACAAGAGCCAAGACCAAACCTGACCCCAGCTACTTCAGGGACAAATCACAGCAGAGTCCTTGCACTGGATGAGAAGTCTTTGGAAGAGAAGCAGAGAAACAAAACAATTCCCATGCCTGAAACTCCACTGCAGAGCAAAGGAAGGATCCCCCCTCCCTGGTCCTTTTTCTGCAGGTCACAGTGCAAGGAGGAAGGGATTTTGCATAGGCCAACAACTGCCTAATTCAGGGCACTTGACTACAGTAAATCAGCCAGAGCAGATAAATGGTCCACATGTTAGTGCTGACTACAGTCGCACCAGGAGCTAGCAGAGACCATGCAGAGCGAACAGCCCTGCCAGACCCGGCTTCTCTGAGAGCTCCTAAGGAATGAGGGTAAATAGAAATTCTTCAAATACGAGGTGCTCGATATAAGAAGTCATTGCTAGGACACACCCTTTTGTTAGCCATACTCAGGAGAAAGAGGGACAAGCTATTTCTGTACTCTCTACAAGGTAAGGAGAGCAAGGAGCTGCAGGAAGAGCTAAAAATGAGGGACAGCCAAGGGGACAAGAGCAAGAGACACTCTTGCTCTAACCAGAAAGTCAGGTTATGCAGGCTGTAAAGAAGCAGTCCAATAACTGCTCACATTAATGGGTTTGAAATTATCTGTCCATGTTCAGGGGAGTGTTGCAAAAGCCGTTGCAGACAGCTCAGGGGAGAGTCCTGCTCTGTGAGTGGCAGAAGCCAAAACCGGCCAAGCAAAGTAACTGACTCCTGGGCTGATCAACGGGTGATGACAGCACTGCAAACACAAAGGCAGCAGCAGCATTACAGAATGCAGCTGCCTGCCAGCATGCCCAGGGAGGGGGAATTGCTGGATTTTCTTTCAGCAAAAACAACTGAGAAAAAAAAACCCCACCACCACCAAAAAAAATCAAACATGCAAGAAATGGGGAGATGATGTGAAGCATAAAAAATTATGCTTGGAGTGGTGTAAAAGATTATGGATCACTTCCAGCACTGGAGTAACTCCACTGCTGGCATCCAGGGTGCAGTTAGCCCAAGAGTCATTTAACAGAGGAAAGCAAGATGAAATAAACATGAAATACTGTCCCACTCAAAACATATCCAGCCCAGGGGGCAGCCCAGAAAGGTATGGTTCAGTGGTACTTGTTGTCTTTAGAAGGCTGCCTAGTCTTGTGATTATTTACATTTGCAGCTCTGGCTGCTCAGATAATAAGAGCAGTCAGGGTACCAGTTGATTGCTGGAGGGACTGGGAAGGAATTTTAATCTCAGACCCTCTGTTCCCACATTGCACAGTTAGTGAGGTGCATCACTGCAGGCTGCTCAGCTCTTCCAACATTGTCAGAGCCATGGTACTGGATTAGATACACCAGTGATCTGATGCATGATGACAAATCTCATGTTGCACAATTCACCCAAAGTATGTGGGTATCTGGTATAAATATACACCTTGTCATCTGTTACACTGCTTAGGGAACTTGATTGCCTTTCTGCTCAACCTAGTGTGGAAGGCTGTAGCGGGCAGCCTTCCTCCTTTCCACCCAGTTTCAGGCTTCTCATGTGGACCAGGATAGCCAAGGATCAGAGGGGTCAATCCATAGGGTGAGGGGCCTCCAGACAGCCTCTTCCTAGAGGCAAGCACAGGAAGCATGATCCTCAGTGGAGATTTATGAGAAGCTAAGATGCTCACTCCATCAGGTCTCTTAGGCTAGTTCCAGTGTCAGGATTTGGGCAACAGAGATGGATCTGTCTGCAGTGAGGTCTAGGGGAAGAGGCAGTGTTGTGGAGCTCTGCTCTGTGTGTATGATCACTCTCATACAGATGACCCAGA